TTGAGCAGTGTAGAGTAGCGCTTGTTGTTTGTCATTTCTCCGATCACAAATGCAGACATGGTTTTATGTATGCAACGCAACGCGTAAAAAGACAGTATAAGTCATTATAATCCGTAATTATGTCCCACTGGATGCAACAAATGCCTCGTTTATAATGGGTTTTAATGTTTTTGTCTCGTCGCTCCGGGACACGGCATCACAGTATGGTAAGGGGCAGGGTTGCCAGGTTTTCACAAGAAAGCCCGCCCAATCGCTACTCAAAACTAGCCCAATCGCGTTCCAAGGGGTAAAATACACGTTTTTTGGCGGGGTTCCCCTACTAAAATTCGCATTCCAGGGGATAAATATCATGTTATTGGAGTCGCTTTAACCCGCGGCAACAGTGTTAAAGTAGCCCAACTTGGCAACACTGGTAAGGGGCGTAAAATTTCCGTCACACGCTTGAGGTATTCGGCCAATCACAACGCACTGGATAGCGGGCCAATCAGAGCACACCTCGCTTTTCAGACCGATGAGCTTTGTAAAAATCGACGCGTTTCAGAAAGGAGGGGCATAGAGGAGAAACAATAATGTACAGTATGTGGAAAATAATGTATTTTTTTAACCTTAAACCGCATAACAGCATTTCATTACACCAGATACACCAAATAATGTTGTTTTTAGCAACATCATATGACCCCTTTAAGGAGCTATTTCTAATGGGTAGATCAACTTGATTTTCAACAGAAATTGGTTTTCATGGGCAATTTTACTCATAAATGTTAGCGTTGCTTCAACTGTGTCCTACATATAGATCAAAACAAAGGATAAATTAGGCGGCAAGAAACTCTTAATAGTTATTTAATGCATATTTTGTGTGTGTATATGCATCAATGGACAATTTTTTGAGGCACTCATCAGACTATAAACAAAAGCGATTGTATCTCCATCCAGAAGGGGGCGATATAGTCTTAGTAGTTTGAAAACAACCCCTGCTCAGACCACACCAAGTCCATCCTCAAACTTTCAGTAAGCATTAATGTGCTCTGAAAAGCTGGGACTGCACTAATGCACATGTGTGCACTCTCCGGCTTTGAGCTTACATTTGCCTAATTGCATGTAGTAGAGTTTGAATTTGCATAAGAATGACTGGCTAATGCAGGTGTATGAGATCAAGAGGCCAAACGTCATTGAGTTCTTTGCCGAGGCTCTATTGTGTGACCGCTTGGTCTCTGCACTTACAGGGACAAGATAAAGTCATTTTTTCCACCTGTATTCAGATCAGTTCTGCACTGTGGTGGGTTGGTCTGATCAGATTCGACATGCAGCTCCCCCTACAGGGGAGTTCATATCAGTTACAGTCCTGCAATTGTACTGTATACTATGACACACATTACTGCTAATGTTTTAATAGGTAATTAAACATTTAAATTTATATATTATATTATTATGGAATTTGTGTTTTTAGTGGTCTCTCTCTCACTTTGTCTATTTCCAGTGTGTCTGGAGGCGAGTTGTTCGACCGGATCGTGGAGAAAGGTTTCTACACTGAGAAAGACGCCAGTACACTTATCAGACAAGTACTTGATGCTGTAAACTACCTCCACAGTATGGGCATCGTACACAGAGATCTAAAGGTGAACAAAACACACCCACATTCACAGTTCTGCTCTGGTTTGATATGTTTGATTTCAATATGAGTGCGTTTTCTCTCTTCAGCCAGAGAATCTGCTCTATTTCAACCCTCAAGATGGCTCAAAGATCATGATCAGTGATTTCGGTCTGTCTAAGATGGAGGGGACAGGTGATGTCATGTCCACAGCCTGTGGAACACCGGGATACGTGGGTAAGAGTTTATATATGAAAGTGAAATTGAGATGTTTATGATTTTGTCTATTGAAGATGTGAATGTTCATATACTGTATATACAAATGTGTGTATATTTTAGCTGTTGGAAAGTGACTGCATGGGATGCATGTGTTGGTTCATTTGTGTGCGGCCTATATATGCACTTGAAGCTTATTCTTATCTCAGACTGACAGAACTGCCCCAGAGTCGCCTGCTTTTCCCCTGCGATTAGAGCGACTGCAACACTCTGAGCCATCATGGCTGTATGTGATGCTGCATGTGAAATAAACACACACAGGCTGTTGGAAAAAGTAAATTTTGTACAGACATCTTTGAACACTCAATTTAGAAAATATTGAATTAGAAAACTAACTTTCATATTATGTGATCAGGAATTTTGCTAATAAAAAATAGCTTTTGTTAATTGAAATTGAAGCCAAAATAAAATATAAATATTGAAATTGAAAAAAATATTAATATTATATTTAAATATAAATTATATTTAATATTCATATTAAATATACATATTTGATGAGAAACGTAAAAGAAAATTAGAAATGTTGTCTTGGCAACTAACTGAAATAAAATAAGTTTAAGTACTAAAATTACTAAAACTACAATAAATATAAAGCTTAATCGAACACAAATAAAAAAAAATAATGGCAAAAAAATGACAAAAACATTAAATTACTAACTACTACTAACTAACTACAAACTACTTAACAACTAAAACTAAAAATGAAAACTGAAAACAAAAAGTCAAAGCTAATTCAAAATATTAATAAATATTATTATAATACTAAAATATACTTAATACTAAAATAACAGTAGATGGTACCATGGTACAGTGGTAGTATCAGATGGTAATACCATGGTATTTTAATTCATACAACTGAATTATTGCCCTATCCATATACCAAGTATTACCATGGTAAATGTAAAAAAAAACAGTAATTATTATTATCATTAAATATCAGTAACACATTACAATAAGATAAGGAATATGTTAACATTAGTTAAAGTATTAAGGATAATTATGTAACAAAAATGTAAGTCATTATCTGGTTGAAATATCTCCTCTTAGATCCATCACACACCATGACTAAACCAGAATTAAGTCACCAGCGTTCATCTTCACATGGGTTTGAGTCTCAGTACTGTTGAGTTTCCTGCATGCCTCTTCATGCATGTGTGTTTAAGGCAGTCTTTACGGGCAAGTTTCCATGGTAACTGTGTTTAAACGGCGCTGTTGCAGCTATAAAATGATTCTTCAACCAGTTGCATCCTGGACCGGGGTCAAACGCTGCTGTGCGAGATGAATGAGAGCAGCACACAGGCATGCATTCAGTGTGTGTTTGTATGAGTGTGTGTCTGGAATGCCCTCTTTTTGTCTTTAAATGGTAACAATCTCACACCAAGCTCTCTAAATCAAATTTAAGGATCAACCGCTGTCATCGTTTTCAATCCTTTAGCTCCTCATCTTTCTCCCTATTTTTGTTTCACCGTCTCTCTCATGCACACACATCTCTTTAGTAGACACTTCAGATGTGATGATGGGATTATATTGATCATAGCCTCAAAATAGCCCATCTTGGAAAACATCCATTCCTGCAGTCCTTAGACAGGAATGAACTGATTAGTTTCTAAACTGAAGCAGGTTTTGTTTACACATACTCAATTAAACTGTAAATGAAGCCCATATGATCTAATGTAGTTTGTATGTGTTTGTGTACTTGTAGCCACGATACTTTCTAATTAGTATGGGAGTACCTTAGCTGTTCAAAATAGCGTACATTTTATCATTATAAGCTACTTTTTTCCAATGAGTAACAGATAAAGCACTGTTTTTCCTCATAGTATTGCACTTGTATGGAAGCTTTGAGAAAAATAAATCCTCGCAGTTATGAGTTTATATCTCACAATTTTGACTTTTTTTCCCTCAGAATCAGATGAGATATAAAGTCAGAATTGCGAGATATAAACTCAGAATTATGAGAAAAAAGTCCGACTTGTAAGATTCATAATTATTTTGTTTTATTCCATGGCAGAAACAAAAATTACTGCAAGATGTATATTTACAATTCTGAAAAGAAAAGTCAGAATTGCGAGAAATGTCAACATTTCTTTTTTTTATATAATTTTTTTATATCTTGCATTTTTTTTCTCAGAATTGCAAGAAAAAAATGTGAATTGTGAGATAAAAATATGCAATCACCTGCATTTACCAGCAAAATAACAGTAAATATAAAAACAGTGAATATTTAATACATAACACAACCCTAATTGAGATCCTTGTACTTTGTTTCAGAAGTTTTTCTTCTTTTTTCATCTAAAATATATTGCCCTCGTAAATAGCTTCAATGTAGCTCATTTTTTAAAAGAGCAGCTTCACTTTAGTTGGAGTACTTTATGAATTATGCATCGCTTGTAGCCTAGCAAACTATAATTTTAAAAAAGTGTCGTCTTTATCACTGCTACCTGTGTGTTTTTAGGAGCTGTTGTTTAAAGGCCACAGAATTTCTATCATTTCTGATGGAAATGTGTTTGTTTCTTTTCAAGAGCTTTTCGAAACGCAGCTTTCATGAGTAACAGACTAGTCCAGCACGCACACACAACAGGCGACTCTAGGATAAGTTGAAGCCCTAAACCACAGAGCCAAAGCTTTTGTGTCGTGAGTGAAAGCTTGTTTCCTGAAGGGAGGAAGAGAACGTCTAGAGGCAGAAAATGGAGAATAATAGAATAAATTTAGAAGGACTCAGGAGCCTCAACCTCCTGTGGAGTATAACAGGATGAGTATGCGTGAAGGTGTGTGTGTGTGTATCTCAAAAAGTTGTTTGTCCTGATGGTGTATTGAGTGCCCTTCATGATTTCTATGGTTGTCTGCTTTCTCAGACACATCCACTCACACATATACTAACAAAAACATGTTCAAGTCATTCATTTTATATAGTTGCAAGACTGTCTTACGAGACAGAAACTCAATGGCATACAGGAATGATTGGATTTGTTTGTCTCAATCTGATGTTTGTTTCTCTCTTCTCAGCTCCAGAAGTTCTCGCTCAGAAGCCATACAGTAAAGCTGTGGACTGCTGGTCTATCGGCGTCATTGCCTACATCCTGTGAGTACCCACAATGCCACACTTGTCCTTTCATTTATAAGCTGAGGAATCCTTCAGCTAAGGTTGGAATTAAATCTTCAGATGAAGAAAACGTTTGCACAATGTCACTGGAGCACTGAGTAAATGACCCATCTCTCCTGATGAGCTACAGATGTTGTGCCCCACTTTACTCAGACTCCTTATATGGGCTTATTGTTGTGGTGCAGTTTGAGTGAGTCATTAAAACAAAAGAGAGAGTTTGTGCCTCGCAAATATTTGAGATGTTGATTAATGGAAGATTTCTGGATTTCCTCTGGTTTCTCAGCAGATGGGAATGCTTTCTTACCAATAAACATTGCGGTGTTACCATGGTACAGTGATGGTATGAGATGCTAACGTCATGGTACTGATATATAATGAATAACATGTTTTTTACATACAGGGCACACCGAGTGATTTGTCCAAAAAAAAAAAAAAAAGTTGCTTTTTTGAAAATTGTTGATGTTTGATATGTCAGTTTTTATGTATTTGCTCTGAAATCATTTCAACCAAGTAGATTAAAAATGCTTAAATGTTTGAACTAAAACAGCAACATTTTATGTATGTATATATATTTAAATATTTGTATTATAATATAAAGTTTTATATTAAAATAGTTACCTTTTTTGTAGTTTTTCACCAAATGGACAACAATCATTTTAATTTATGTGAAGCAATAAAACAATAGTGATAACCATATTTTCAAGTATTTTTCCCATATATTTTCCCACATTTTAGTACATACATTTTAATATCTAAAAAAAAGTATTACAGTACTAAGTACTAAAACACAGTTTACTAAAACATGGTAAAAAAATGTATAAATAATTTAAATTTATGCAACCAATTTTTTTTTTTTTTTTTTTCGAAAAAAATTTATTATATTAAAAAGATACCACCTTCCATGAACATTTTTGAGTGATGACTCACTCCCAGAATCAGAGTTTTGAACTGATTCATTTGGAACAGACAGTTTGAACTGATTCAGGAAGAAGAATCAAACTTACCCCACTATAACTTAAAGAGTCTTAACACTCTCATACTCACAAGTCTTTAGGAAACCTACTGGCCAAATAAAAACGTGTGTTAAATGATTTAAATATTCATGACTTTTCTTAAATTTAATATTGACAGCAAAATTATTGTAATCATGACTATTCAATAGCCTATTAATGGAGTATTCCTTACACCAAGATTACATTCTCCCCAAACAAATCATTACGATACCACTGTGGTATCTTCATTTCACCCTCTTTTTCTCCCTCTGTACATTTTCTTCCATTTCTCAGTGTGAGAATGTTCATAAGGATACTGAGAGTGTGTCATAAAAGCTGTACATTTCACATGAGCTCTGGCCATCTGTGCTTCTCTGTGTGTTTATTAGCATTTCACTGTGAGTGTGAGCACAGACAAACCAACATAAAAACAAGTGCCGCATCACCTTCTCATATCTTAATCTGCAGCAGTTCTCCATGTACATCGGAGTCAATTGTCTTTTGTTTTGGTGTTTCGATCTGCTCCGTCTGCTCTGGGGCGACTCCTGCGCCAACACAAACACTCACACTGTCTGTCAACAAACTGGTGAAGCTGTCCTTCCCATCACTCCCACTCACAGCTGTCCTGATCCGAAGTATTACATGTTTATGGTTGAGTTTGTTTACGGTTTTCACTCTTGCTCAGGTTAACGCTTACTTTCTTAATTAGGAAATTCATCATTTTTAACTCCCATAATGATGTATAGGTCACTCTGTTCAACCAAAAATGTAAATTTACTCACCCTTTGGTCATACAACAGATGATAAAAACATCATAATAATCCACATGACTCCAGTCCATCAGATACAGATCAAGCACCATTTACAAGCGAACACAGTCCAAAAACGTTCTAAACACGTATGTTGGTGGATTTTGATTCAACAGGGGATGAACTTTTTATGTGGATTACTGGAGTTATGTGGATTACTTGTAGATTATTGTGATGTTTTTATCGGCTGTTTTCAGCAAATTTTCATTTTTGGGTGAACTATCCCTTTAAACAAGAAAGAAATAAAAGGCAGGACTTGATTTTATCCATTACGACACCAAAATGAATTCCTTGTGTGTGTAAACACACTTGGCAAAGCTCTTTCTGATTCGGATTCTGATTAGGAAGTGATTGGATCATGAAAAGTGGTCTCTATATGACAAAGTGTTGGATTGGAGATGTTGATTTTTAAGTGAAGTAATTTATTACATTATGATTCAGAATCATATTCAATATTATGAATCGTTCACAGTAAGACCATGAATGTGTATAAAGTCAATTTAGATTTTATGTTGACTAATTGGCTAATTTTGTGCATGATATGAGTGTGTGTCAGAGTTGTTTTTGTCAACTAAATCAAAACTGTTGAAACCTGCTTTCATTAATTTCAGTAAAGCTGAAATAAACTAAAAACTTAAAGATTTTAAATATAAAATTAAGTTTAATTAGTTGTTAACTTCATTTTAAGGTGAAGTTCTAAAATTACTAAAACAAATAATTAAAGCTAAATATTTGTAAAAAAATGAATACAAGTTGACAAAATCACATAATAAAAATGCTAAAACTGGAAACTGAAAATATAAAAATAAAAGCAAATTCAGAATATTAATAAGCATAAAAGTACATAAATAATACTAAAATAACTCTGGTGTGTTTACTGATAAGGGCCTCTGCCCGCCTCTTTCTCTGAGCCAGCTGTCCGCTAGAGCTTGGAGTCAGATCTCATGGATGGCTGGCCTCCTCTCAGGTGTGATTATTGCAGTGACAACTGGCCGAAACCGTAGCTAATTCTCTTAGCGTCTGATTAGCTAACCCAACGAGAAAAGAGAAAAACACAAAGCTAATGGGGTCGAAATCAGGCAGAAAATTACCATCCCTTTCTCCCCCACTGCCTCCGTTCCCCATGAGGAAAGGTATTTTAATGGCTTTGATGATGGGAGGAGAAAAACATTCCAAGAGATGTGTTGAGGAAATTTGATTTACGTTGATCAGGTTTAATCCGCTGTCTTTCTTTTCAGATTTCCAGCCCATGGGGTTTATTTACACTTATTTACTAAGCATAACGTTTACTGTTGAATCAAGGTTTGAACTGATGTGTTTTTAGAGGATTACGGTGATAATCTAAAGGGATTGTTCACTTGAAAATCTAGCATGATTTATTCAGGACTAATCTCCGATATGACAAAATAAGTATATAAAGGTAATTCTTATGATTATTGGGTTATATTACAAGTGTTTTGAAGCTAGATTATAGCTTTGTCATATTGTACAAGTCATATGGAGAAGTTTAATAAACCTTTAATTTTTGACATTTGGGAGCTTGACAAACTACAAACTAGTACATTCTTCAGAAAGAGGAAAAAAGTAATTGGAGTGAGTAAATAATGACAAAATAGCCGTTTTTCAGGTGAACTGTCCCTTTAAATGTAAGTAGCATATAAGAACTACTGATATAATATATAAGTAGGGTTACATATATAAGGTTGTGGGTTCAATTTCACACATATACTGTACTGTGAATGTGCTGAAAGTATGGAAATGATGCAATAAATTTATGTTTTCTTACAGACTGTGTGGTTACCCTCCCTTTTATGATGAGAATGACTCCAAACTCTTTGAGCAGATCCTGAAAGCGGACTATGAGTTCGATGCGCCGTACTGGGATGATATATCTGATTCAGGTATATTCACTCTGTGAAGTGTAGAAAAGAACCACATTGTGCTAATGATGTGGTTTATAGGCGTTTAATCTGAAATGCACTCACTTACTCATCTATCAGTAACTTCACATGCTGCCAGTAAGAGTGGAAAATGTTTTACAGGAAAGTCTGAGCGCCGTCTCTGGCATTCAGTAAACACCACGGGCAATAGCTCGATGAAATTCTTCCAAACTTCAAATCAAGTAACGGTGAATGAATCCAAATTTTGTTGTCAGTCTTTCCACTGATCTCTCAGTTTAATCTCACCAACAGGATGAATGTGAAATAGTGGAGGTTCACCGTGTACAACGCAGATATGATGCCTTGAAATGTCAATGTAGTTTAATGGTTCTAAGCTGCTGAACTGGTATGTTTTGTATTTTTTAATGTTTAACTGTTATATTTAATGTACAGCAAAAGACTTCATCAGTTGTTTGATGGAAAAGGACCCCTCAAAGCGATACACATGTGAACAGGCCCTTCGACATCCCTGGTAAGTCAATACTGTCCTGATGAGATTCTGTGCCAACAATAAATTATTATCATTATTATTATTATTATTATTATTATTTAGAGTGAAACTATCATTTAAGCAAAAAATTATTTTCAATTAAATTAATATTAATGAATAATTATACTTTAGAGTTAAAGCAATAATTTAAATTAAATGAATTTAATAATTGAATTGTAATAAATCAAATTTTAAATGATTTAAAAAGTTCATTTTAAATAAAAATGCAAAATGATTTTATTATTATTATTAAATAGTAAATAATAATACATCAGTTGAATTTCCTTTATAATACAGAAATAATGTTAAAATAAATAATAATGTTACAGTTATAATAAAAGCAATAATTTTAAATTAAATTACAATTTGTATTATTGTTGATAGCAATAATAAATAATAATAAACAGTTCTTCTTACAAATGATATAGTACATTAGCTTAGCTGTAGGTGATATTGTCTAAATGATGAATTTAATAAAGATCCTTTTGTAACAGCAACAAGTAGATCTCTGCAGGTCATTGTTCTTTATGATTTACTTTTGTTTTGCTGGACGGTCATTCAGGTCCTCAAAGACACTTACGCTGTACCAGAACAATTAAACTGTGACCTCATAAACAGCATTTAGAGACAGAGCTTTATTTTGTCGTTATTAGTGCAGCATTTGATTCACATTAGATTGAGACGCTGTCTGCGTCAGCCGGGGATTGCGTGTACGTTCTGAGTATCAGGCTGAATTCGGTCTCTCTATTATCATGCACCAAGATCTCTCTCAAGGGCAGGAGGAAAGCTACTGAATAAACGCTAGCCAATTAAGAGACTGCGCTTAATCTCACATTATGTATTCCAAAGCGCTAATTGGCAATTAGCACATCCCCTACAGGCACCTTTAACAAGCCCTTACCAAACACTGGAGTCTGAAAAACTGGAGATCGAAAACCATAGGGAATTTACACACTTTGGAATAAATCAAAGTGCTTCTTGAGAGGAGAGGAGCGATGAGAGAAGAGGACATCACTGTAGGTGAAGCAGGGTGCAAAGTTTTGACTTTGTCGTTTTGCTTTTCAGGATCGCGGGAGACACCGCACTCTGCAAGAACATCCATGAGTCCGTCAGTCGACAAATGCGCAAAAACTTTGCGAAAAGCAAATGGAGAGTGAGTAGAAGTGACATTGTGAATAAGGCCAGCAACCTCATGCAAATAGAGTGAACACATTTTGAAGCACAAAATCTAGCTTGTGTAGCTAGAAGTATTTGCTTAGAGTACTGAATGTTTTGGGCCTAAGAGTCAGAATTGTCTGTTTCGCTTCTTTTTGACCATGACTTCTCGTCTCTCCACATAACAGCAAGCCTTCAACGCCACGGCCGTGGTTCGCCACATGAGGAGACTGCAGTTGGGCAGTAGCATGGGGAGCAGCATGGACCAATCGACCAACGCCAACCAGAACCGCATACTGAACGCCAACCAGACTCCAACCCTACCACCCAACACAACACCAAACTCCACTTCAGCCCTTACTCAAAACCACAAACCTGCTCCCAACGCAAATACCGTTCTCATTAATGATATGGCCACAGGAACCACCTCTATACCACGCAAAGACTGTAAGTATTAGTATTTTTTTATATATATTTGACATATATTTAATTTTTTATATAAAATTGATCAATGTACCATACATAATAAACATATCAATCAACATGAATTCCAATCATTTGAATGCATTTTAAAATAAAATGTATTTCAATAAAAATTATTTTATTAAAATCTCCTAAATCAATAGGCCAGTTTTAGACCCACTCCTTTCACTCCTGTGCTAAAGATGTATATAGCTTATAAATGGCCAAAAAAATGGGTTGTTTGTTTCATTTTCACATATAAAGTCATTTTATATGCCTGTTTAAATGAATCATTTTAATCACTTGTTCACAGCTATTTTAGTATTATTTATGTACTATTAGTTTGTAACAGTATTTTGAATAAACGTATTTTTTACATTTTCAGTTTTCATTTTAATTGTAGATTTATTTTTAGTACTTTGTGCTTTTGTATTTTTATTTTTTTTTACCAGATTTTGTTTTATACATCACTAGTATTTAGGTTTTATTATTATTTTTTTTATATATTTATTTTATCTCAGTTTAGTTGTAGTTATTGATTTCTTTCAACTTAAACTTATTTCAGTTTGTTGCAAAGGCAACATTTTTCGTTTTCATTTAGCTTATATTTTTTCATCTTATATTTCTTTTGTATTTTATTTTGTTATTTTGTTTTTACTTGTTTTGTTTTTTGTTTAGTTAACGATAAAATGTAATGATAATCATTCATGTCAACACAAGGAAGACTTGCATGATATGTTTTACTAAAAAGGAAAAACATTGTTCAAAATGTGGAAAAATTATTATTTATAGCTATGCATTGTCATGAATAAATTATTTTAATTACTTTTCAATGTTGTGGGAAAACACCCATGTTTTTAAAACTAAATGTGAACATATTTAACTTATTGCACTTCATCAATTACTGTCAAAATGATGGCTCTTCTAACTTTTCAAAAAAACAAAAAAAAACATTTTTAAGCCATTTAAGTAAATATTCAGATGTAGAATAGCATCTAGAGTAGCTGAGAAATATTAAACTAGATATATTTTCATATTTAATTGCCTAGCCCTATTTCTAACTTAAATGCATGCACTTCTAACCAGTGAATTTGCATTTGTAGGTACTGCCCCTCCCCACACTTCCTGTTCCCTGGCATCAGCTGCTTCCTCCTCTGCCTCAGGGGCGGAGCCCTGCAGGCCACTCCCTCCCTCAGTTGCGTCTGTGAGCACAGTGCTAACTGGGACCAAGTGACGCCAGGTTCTGTGGGGAGAGAGCTGGGAGGCCACCGCCCTGTGAGCCCCACCCCTCAGCCCACTCCCCGCCCTGCCGTCCAGTAAGGCAGAGGACTGACCCATCGCCATAGCAACCACCGAGAGGCTAAAAACACTGCGCGCACCTAACGCACTCCTGCCATTTAACCTCCAGGCCACTAGAGGGTGCAATGCATGCAGCGACAGGAGATGGAGATTTCCAGCAGAAGGCTTCCATTTTGAGAAGTGAATTTGTGCGGCTAGACAGAACTGTGATGTCTTTGATATGAATGTGCAACGAACCTCGCCAGCCATGAAAAAAAATGAACGAAGAGCGCAGAGGTTTAGGTGCGAAAGTGTGCATGATTGTGTCCGCCCTTATAAGAGGACGGCACCAATGTCAAACGATTCTTCTTACTATATCGTAATATGTCTAGCTCTTCCCTCTTACCCTCTGTTTTCCCCGTTTACTTTATCTATCTACTCACGATTTATTGTATTTCTCGTTAGCTACCATTTTGATCTTTCGGGGTTTTCCACTGATGTGTCATGCTGACCTGCAGAAGTGCTTTTAATAATCACATTAGACTGTTTTGCAACATTTTTCGAGTCGAGACTTCTGTTTGCACATACAAGAGAACAAGTAGCGCAATTGCTAGTGTTTTACGAGATGGGAGATTACCGATTTGAGACCTCACCGTCAGGTTTTAGCATCGCGAAGTTCAAGATATCTTTTAAAACATACAATATGTATGATTGTTATCTTACTTAACTGGACTTTTTTTAAAAAGCAGAGGAAAAAAAACAGCTTGATCATGTTACTCTCTGCTTCAAATGCGACTTTAAATACACACAGACAGCCAGTGTTAGTTATTGAATATAGTATAACTGTTAATAGACAACACAAACACACACAAATCTCCCGAAAGCCATGGCAGCATCTTTCTACGCCCAGTGTACGAGTTCTCAGGAAATTCCGCAGCTGCACTGGGCATCATAGTGATGTTATCTTTAGTAACGCCTCCATGGTTTGAGATTGTCTCATCCAGTTGGAATAATGTCAAAAATGTTGATTAGGATGATGGACAGCTCTTTAACTCTCACAATGATTGTATGACAATTTGACCATGCGGGGAAACTGCTGAGTTATGCTACGTTCACGTCATTTCAGAATTAGCCTACCATGATTACAAACTCCTAATAGAGAGCAAAAGTCGGGTTCTGGAAGTAAATCCCATCATTTTTCTCCATAGGCGATTAGATTTTTAAAAGTAACTTCTATGCCTTTTAAAGACCTACTGTGAGCTACGAGGTTGTTTATCAATGGTATATGATTTTTTATGTTTATCGATAGCATTATGTCAACATTGTTTTAATAATCATGTTCAACAGTGGAATTCCTGGTGAAAAACTACATTACCCATGATTCTGAAAAACTACACTCCCATGAAGCACTAATGCTAATGACTGATGTAATCTCCCTACACTTACTTAAATATTTGTGCATGTATGCATATTTTGCAATGTCATACACAATGAACTTCTTTAAATCAATAGTTTTATATTTATTTGTTTTTAATTTATTTGCAGTGCTTCATGGGAATTGTAGTTCTTTCCCTCATTAGAGCTATTCAAGTGTTTTTCTCCGCTTTTCAAATACTTTTTTGCTTCAAATCAAAATTTGTAATGTTGTGAGTCATCTCGTCGCTGGTTGGTTTGGTTAATGGCTTGTAACTCTTAAACGGGAAAAATGAATGGAAAAAATACTTCCGGATCCAAAGCTGCTGAAAAAGTGGGCGGTCACACATATTGGAAACAAGTTAAGGGCAGGATTGACCTTTTTATCCCACCAACGGCAGACGGAAGAGTGTTTAGGAAACTGGTTACTATTTTCGCAACATTTTGTGATGCTAGTGGTGTAGAAACTTCACTTTTAAAGGCAGCTTTGTATAGATACTGCTAAATATTTCTATTTGATATGTCATTTTATTATAGCCAGCATATTATGGTGTGCTTTCTTCGCTCTTCCTGATTTTGCATAAAATGTGGCTATTAAGTATTTAGCAGTAAAGTCATCATTGATCCATAATGCGTTTACATGTTGTGTAATTCTGACACAACGTGAACGTAGCATAACTTTCAGTGACTGTAAACATCTTTCCAGTACAGCTCAAAGTGTCTGAATTTCTAGCATTGGTTTAAGGGCTAAGTTAAGGTTTTTACACTTCCTTATCGATGGGTGACTGGTCTTCTGTCCCCGAGCGGCTCTGCTTATGTCCTGTCGGGTTTTTAAAGTGACTGATGTCTTCTTTGCCCTTTATGGTTTGTTAATATCACAGAAGGGAACCTCGTCTACGGACAAGATTTAGGAGTGTGTGACATTTTCTAAAGTGCCATCGAATATCTTCATGCATTTCCCATTAGTTTCATCCTGAATGTTTGTTTCGGTGTGGGCGGCGCTTCACCATGAGGGGTTTGAGCTAATGGGTTTCTTTTTCAGTCAGGTCATGCATGCACCATTTTGTCTTCATTTTCACACTCGAGAGGAGTTTGTAATCTCACAACAGAGATGCTCTGCAAAGCTTTTCACGAAACTGGGGTGACGTTATGTTTTTGTATGTCACAAAAGCTGTTTTCATTGAGAATGAACCATACGGCACATTTCTGTTTCATTCAGAGCCGTTTATGCTGTAAGCATGAGGTGTTTGATAGGTAACAGTTGTTTAAATTAATGTTGAACTCTTTTGACAGTATCTGTGGCATAATGTTGATTACCACAGGAAATAATTTCAATTTGTCTCTTAGTTTGTAAGCATAAAAGTCTACTATATAGAAAGGCATTATAGAGGGTTTTTCTTAAAGCACTTCTATTAATTTTTCTGTACAAATATGTGTTATTTGAGATAATGACTGTCCTAGACTTCTAGTTTGATGTTACCTAAGTTTTGTCATTTAAACAGTACCTTTGTGCATTTTGTATGAAATGTACCTCTTTTTTTTTTTAATTGAATGCAACTGTTCAAACAAGGTTAGTAAGCTATTTTTGGCCATATGGTCAAATGTTGTCTTCGAAAACAAATGTGCTTGAAAAACATTTGGTGTAGAAACAATTTTCACTCAGAAATTGCTAGTAAATTTTACAATGAATTACAAAGAAATGGCAAGTAACACAAAATTAGTAATTAAACAAAATTTTGAAGTAGAAAGACTGAAATGATTTTAAAATCTATTAATCTTGGAAATTTTTTTACAGTCTGTTAAAATGTATTGCATTGCAGTTTCTTGCCCCTGTAGACTTTCATTGTAAGTGCATTACTATAAATGTAATTTTTGCTTGTTTTTATAAACTGAGGGACAATTAGAAATAGTTTTATGTGGTAACAGGGCTTAACATTTTTGGCCTCAGTGTTCATGTAGTCTGTGTTTGTGAGTGTCACTTCTGTGTGTATTTATGGGTGTAAAATGCAGGAAATTTGTCTGATATGCTGGTTTTGAAATGCTTAAACCCTCAGTAGGATGTGCAGAAAAAACTATAAACCAAAATGTTGGGGTGTTTTGAACAAAGATAAATAAATCCATATACACTTACTGCCACTGCAAGCCAAACATACATCTAACTATAACAATTATATCTATGAACTCATTTTAACATACTATAGTAAATACATGCACACACACGTGCCATGGCTCACACACAAACACATCCTGATCAATCAGTGAGTGCAGTGAAGGACAGAGAAGAACGATGTTTCAGTTCACTTCGATTACAGCATCACTGTGGTCTGTCTGCGTCCAGAGCAAATCACTCCGTGTGTCCAAAGGCTTTGTAAGTAGACTGTGATCGTGACGTGTCTATCATGTTGTCCCTGAAGAGATGTTAGTGTACGTTGCGTGTGTCATTTCGTTCTCTAAACACTGCCTTTGCAGTTATCGGCCTCACAGTTGACTGTAATGCACAGATGTATATTCACAAACCTGTCTCTCGCTCAGTGTCGTACGTTCTGAGAAAATCACGTTTCTATTGTACAAACCTCAGTCTGCACTTCACGCGCAACATGGCGAATATTTAACGATGATCGGTTGTGATGCACCTTTTCCAGAAGAATCGTTTCCTGATGTTTTCCTCTTTTTTTTTTTTTTACCAACTCAGGCGTCACTTTTGCCTCTTACGATGAAAAAGCTGTGACTGACAAGTGTCTGTGCTACCCAGTGACTGTGCAGTTTTAAACTTGTCCCTTGAATGTCGACTTCTTCGCAAATTAAGAAAGAAAAAACCTTGCAACCGCATTGAATGAGTTTTCTTTAAAGAATTTCGAGCATGTTAAATGCGCTTGTTTGCGTATATTTTCAAAAGTCCTCACCATGTAACTATATGTATTAAGATATGTCTATATCTATATGAATATATATTTAAAAAATGCAACTCTGATAATGCAGGCCTTGTGATCTCTGCATCTCTCACACAACCTGTCCGAAATAAACGTTGCCCAGTGAAATGTGAATTATATACTCATATGCATGTGACAATGATGATCATATTTTGGGAGTGGCATACGAATACTAACTTTACTGTGATGTGATCTTCTGTTGATATGGGGCTTGTATATCCAATGCCTTTGACAATCATCAGCACATATCAGAGTTTCTATTCCATGCTGAAAAGCAATGGGGAATGAATGATTGTTTTTTCCCTTTCTTTTTCTTTCCTTTTTCCTTAAATAAATCCTGAATGATCATGATTTGTCTTTTATGGCTTGATAAGGCTCCCAGTATCTCTCTGACCCCTATTTAGCTTTTGAACACTGTTTTCTGTCATTCGTTTGGTTTGGATCCAGCGTAAGTGGTCTTTCATTAGCGATCACAGACTGGAAAGAGAGCATGTGAATATCATCCAGCCATGCGTGACCGCGTACGACCCCAGGCATCTGTGCTTGTGTCTGGCCAACATAGCGGTGTCAAGGAGGCGAAGGTGAAAATGATTGCCAAGCTACTCAATATTCAAAAAGTACAGGTTGTCTGCCAGCTTTGCAGACATTAATTGAAAATTTGATATGTAATAGGCTACACACACACACTATA